TAAATTAGGCACTCAAAAGGTGCACGTGTGGCTTGATGTACCATCGTTGTAATTGTATATAAAACACCGTTTCAAATTCTAATAAAAGCTTTCAGGCCAAAGAGGTCTCCTTAACCAAAAAAAAAAAAATAAATAAATAATAATAATATTATAATAATATTTTTTTTAAAAAAACATTATTATAACATAATAATTACTAGTTGTAAACCCATTGTAAGAAAAAAAATATTTTGAACATGTTTTAAAACTATTATTTGCTAATTTTAAAACCAATATCAATTTTTTACAAGTTTCTGTAAAGCACTATAGAAATATTATAAGATTATAATATCTAAACATAGTATTTGAGCTAATTTAAGCAAATTTGAGATTAGTTAGAGTTAGTTAAGGGTTATAGTAAAGTTTATAGTTAGCTCTAGTGTTAGAGTTAGAGTTTTTTTATATTATAATTTTATAATATTTTTATATTGGCTATCTATATTAAAGAAGATCCAAAATCTTTTTTTAAAGTCAAAAACATATAAAAACTTGAAAATTTTTAAAAAATTTTTATAATAAAATTTTAGAATTGGTTAAGTTTAAAATTAAATATTTTTAATATGATTAAAATTAAATTATAAATTTTACAAGATTATAACTAATTATAACTCAAATTTTTATTTTAGCTTAGAAATAGAAAGGTATTAGCATAATAAAATCTTTTGTAATTACAAATTTACAAAAAAAAAAAAATTTTAGCAAACAAATTTAACCGCTAGACAGTTTAAGAGATAGTCCCGACACTATGTATTTAAAAAGAGTTAACTGTATATATAATACAGTAAAAAGCTATAAAATATATTTTTATTTTAATAATATATATATATATATATTATACAGTATATAAATAATTACTAGTAAATGCTAAATTAATTTTTTTATTATTATATTTTTGATAATTTATTTACAAAAATATTATTTATTATATAATTTTTTTTTTTAATAAAAAAAAATTATATTAATATATTTAATATAAACATTATAATTAATTACTAATTTTTTAAAAATTCAAAATTTGGTTTACCAAGTAAATCCAACACAATATCTTTACTAATTAATTATATTTTAACTATTCAAATCTAGATAAGCTTTAATTACTCTAGTAAATTTAAGTTACAGATAAATAATTAGTCTGAGCTTTTATCCTTGCATGTAGTTTATATTTATTTATTTGCATATGAATTAAGTCTTCATTTAGTTTTCTATATAATTACTTATATAAATTACTCAATAAAGATATGAGCAAGGTCTTACCTTTAAAACCAAAAAAAAATTTTATTAAATCACCAATTTGGCTATTAAGTTGTATTATTGTCTGAAACGTAGCAGAAAACACCTAATAGACGAGTAAAGTGCATCAAAAGTTACAATTTTGATGCATCATAGTGACAAACAAGAAAACAAAATCAAGAACAAAACTTTGAAAAGGATGTCACGTAACAAAAGTTACGTTTTTGATGCATGATTATATTCGATAATTATAGGGCATTAACCTAGTAGTTTTATTAATTTTACTAGATTTAACTAGCAAAACTAATTAATTTTATTAACAATAAGACAATCAAATAATATTAAAATTTATAAATTAAATTACTAATTATATTGCAAAAAATAATTTGTAGTATAGTTCTATATTTTAATTTTAATACTAAACTTTACCAACTATATAGTATTAGAATAACTATTTTAGTAAAAGCAGGATTATTAATTATCTAATTTTTTTTTATTAAGAACCTATTTCTCTTTCGACCTGTGTTTCTTAATATTTAATATTTATTTTTATTTATATGTATATAAATTTAATTTTTTTATTCCCTCTTCTCTTTAAAAAATCAGATAATTCCGTCACCTCTAATTATAATCAAAGTTCTCAATACTTTAAAACAACGAATAAAAGTATTACTGTATTTTAAAATAGTAATCCTTATCAAGTTATTAAGATATTATAAATACGCTTATTTTTATTACAGTTGTTTAATAAAATTGAAACCAACCGGAATAAAAATATAGCAATATAGCAATATGGTGTTATTAGCATTATTGCAGAAAGATTTATAGTCATAGCATTCAAGATTTTATTCGTAATTAATTATGCAGTAACTCAGTAATTACGATAACATAAATAATAAAGTCAGGGCAGTATAATCAGTGTAGGTCAAATATTTAAGTAATTTATTAATTAAAATAATATGCCATTAGAATTTTAAATCTTAAGAATTCTGAATATAATCTACAAATGCGGCCATTCCTGGTTTTAGCGTAACAGCTATCTCATTTACAGTATTTTGCCAGCACGAGTATATTATAATCTATAATTTTGCGATTTTGATTGGTTAATGATATACTACACCTCATAATTTTTAAATTTGACTCAATGACCCGGCCAAGTTAGGGAAACAAAAAATCTTGTTTGCGTGGCCTTATAATATTAATCTTTTAAAAATTTTATTTTAAAATTTGTATTTTATTTAGATTTTATAGGGCATAATAATATATAGATTTAATCCAATGTTTTAAATACACAAATAAATAAATAAATAAATAAAATCTATTTGTGAATTATAAACATTTATTTGCGCACATAATCAAAGTCTATAATAACGGTAAAATTTGCGCATTCCAAATTTCAGCTGCGGAAATTTAGCGGCCCGCAGACTTCACATCCCAATTTCAGATAATGATTGATCTGTTGTAGAATATCGCATATCTCGTCTCTGGATGATTAAAATAAATCGTACAGAAACGATCACGGATTTATCCTTTTGTTTATGACGTACAAATTCTGTTGTACCAAGTTGGGACGCCATAGTGGCTTGATGGATTTAAAATTTCCCGAAGAACTAGAACAGAACAGCAGAATGATTTTTACATGGCGATAATGTTATCTCGCCATTTTTACTATACGTAAAATAAATAATTGTTTCTTAGTAAAAATACAAAACATATTTAAGTAAACATAGGTTAATTTAATTCATTCCGGGTTAATCGTGGAAACTCAAATCTTTTTTATAATAATTATTAATATCTAGGCTTCTAGATTTCTCGTTGATATTAAATACTTTATAAAGGTTATAAAATGTAATTCTTTACTGTATCATTGTTAATGAACAAGCTATTGATTTTTTTTCATTTTAACAAAACTCTTCTCAAATAAAATATTTAAGTAGAACAAGAATTAATTAACAAATGAGAGAAAGAAAAAGTAAAAGAATGAGGATACAATTTATATGATAAAACAATTTATGAAGAATGTTTAATAATATCGGGAATTTATTCCTTATCGTTATATATTATAGTTAGCAACTAAAATTATAAATTAGTTTATGATTATCTGCTTTATTGATTGCGCTAGCCACTGTGGCACACCAACCTGGTATTCATTTTCCGGATGCAATTCAGTTACCCAATGATGACTTGTAAAACATGATAACCGGATCATCTGCATTAATTAATAAAATTCGGATTATCCGTTCGTACGGGATAAATTTGGTTCCATATTGAAGTGCACTTATGGTTAGGCTTTAATCATGTAATTGCAACCTGATCATGTGGACCCTCGATTTTGGGTGAATGTCGCCAAGGAAAAACATGAAAAATTTCATCGATATTATTTATTTATTTGCACTTTGCATATTTCCTGGGTGTTACAGTCCAAACATGTTTCATGATTTCATGAAGGAGTTGTGGCAATAATTGTGTTCATGATATAAATTTACATTAATGGTAGATTATGGTAGATCTTCAATAATGAATCTTCAAATGAAACTAGAACGTGTGAGCAATAATAACGACAAGTTTATACAAACATTCCCAAAACGTTTGTTAATATAATCGAGCACGTGACTTAAGCAAATGTGTCTATGAAAGGAAATTCGCAATAAAATATTCAAATACGTACGTATTCACTTATAGTACGTACGTGAGTGTTAATTAATGAGTGTGGCTAATTAAATGAATAATGGATGTTAGCATACATATGTGTAACGTCATTGTCTCATTGAGTTTCTGGCAGATAATAATTTTTGTGAACCGTTTTTCGGTATTCCCGTCACGTGATAATACACATTAAGATTATTTGCCAGATAATTGTTACAAAAGGACTTATTTTTAGGGTTTTTTTCCTGCGTTTTTGGATTTTAAAGTTCGTCACGAAAGAACCCCACGTTTTTGAGCCGAGGTCCTGGATGAGCTTCAATGAACGAAAGAGTTACAGTGTCTATCTAAATTTAGCAACTACGGCCATGCCAATGAATTAACTTTAAAGTAGTAGCTATACTTTGATGTCTAAATTAATTTGATCGTGCATTACATAACGACATGCGCAGAATTTAAGCCAAGTTAATAATATCCTTACGAACTATATAGAGAAGTAAAATGATACCATTATTTATGTTTGGAATATCAATTGTACCTCTTCATATATCGTAATAAATATTTTTTACAGGAAAAAATACAAATTCTATTTTTTTATATTTCTTTTTTCTTTTTTTCTACTTGGAAAAAAACCTATAAAAAGACCAAGTAAATTTCGCTCAGTATTCTTGCAGTTGCAGGAACTCTCATATTCCTATAATATTAAATCCCTTTCGTCATAATAATCAAGCCTTTCCTGTCTTATGATTTATTGATTAGGAAAAATGTATTTGCTTGATCAAACACCTCATCGAAAACCTGAATTTGTACATGAAACCGAAAACATCACAGCCTGTCCTTCCATTAAAGTTCCCTATCCTCCTCCGATCTCAGCTAGGGAACTAATCTTTCAAAAAAAAAATGGGGAGGTTCCTGCTCGTGCACCTAATGCATTCCTGATCTACCGACGAGTGTACGTTAAACAATTACAAGCACAGAATTACGCCTTTAAAATGACCGATGTTTCTTCTATGGCATCATCATCTTGGAAATCGGAACCAGATTGGGTAAAAGATGAGTACTTGAGGATTGCTGGGGAAGCTAAGAACTTGCTCACAACTATCCGCCAAAAATCGTTAACATTTTCTCGTCGTAAATCGCGACTACAACAAAATGGCTTCAACAATTTTGCATATCCTCAAAAAGTACTTTCGACTTCGCAAAATGAACAAGTATCTTTGGGAAAATCTCAACCTTATGATGCTCAAGCTTCTACTGTCCAAACTACTGATCATTTCATGTCAATGGACGAATATCCCATCCAACCTGCAACATTCGATTTTATTGAATTCGATACTTGGCTCGCTAATATTCATATCTCATATTGGAATTGGAATAACAATCCCATACCTGGCTCAAATCCTACTTATGATGTTGATTCCTCCCCTTTTACCGATAATAAAGGAGCTGAAGAAGAGATCGGTCTATCATATACTACTAATATTTGCACACCACCATTCATGAACCTTACGCCTTCTGAAATGACAGTCAATCATACCATTTTCCCCTTTCGGCAATGAAAACTTCTCTATAGTTAAGATCATAAGAAAAATAAGGAATATATATGTGCATTTATTAAGGATGCCTGTTTCTTGAGAAACAGTTATATGCTTAGTTAGATTCTATTCGATATATTGTTATATATACTATATATATACAGTATACTTTAAGATTAAAGGTTTTTCCTATATGGTTACACGACTTAGAATCGTGCATATATTATTTTATGATTATCAAAAATTTTTATGGTTTTATCGTCGGAATGAGTATAAAGAAAATAGATTGTTAGATATACTATATATTTATACAAAATTTTTAAATCTCTTGTAACAGTATTCAACGGTAAAAAATAAAATATAAGAATAATTCCGATGTATTAAAAGTTCTTTAGCACTATTTGACTTTGTCTATAGAAAAGATTTTTAATTAAATTTAGGGATGTTATCCAGCCCGGTCTTGGATCAATAGACCATGCCGTCATAGAAACGGTCTGAACCTAAGAAAAACCGATCCTATTCTCGGTCTAGTCTCAGTCTAAAAAAATTAGACTATAATCCAGACCAAAATTTTTAATTAATTACAAACAAGACTATTATTCGAACCATGATCTTAAATTGGCCTCAAAACAACCATGGCCATTAAAGTCAGCTTCAAACCCATATTCAAAACATGGTCTTAAATCGGCTTCAAAACCATTATTCAAATCATGGTCTTAAATCGGCTCCAAAACTATGATACAAACCATGGCTTAAATCATGGGTTTGGTCCCGATTTAAGGCCATGGTTTTTGGAGTCGATTTAAGACCATGGTTTGAATCATAGTTTTGAGCTGGCTTAAGACCTTGGTTTGAATTTTGGATTTGAAGCTAATTTAAGACCATGATTTAATCATGGTTTCGGAACCGATTTAAGACCATGATTTGAATCATGGTTTTGGAGCTGACTTAAGACCATGAATGGATCTGACTTAAGACCATGGTTTTAAGCCAGTCATTTATTATTAACCCAGACTGAAAGTTTAGACCATTGAATCTGAATTCATAATTTAAACCCGGTCTTTATTATTAGAAATTTTAAATATAAAGACCGGTCTTAGACCAGTTTTTCAGACCAAAAGTTTAGATCGGTGTAGTCTTATAAGTCGTCTTAGAACCAAATCGTAATCAAACCAAAAAAGACCAAACGGAACTGGGCTAAAAATATGCCAAGTTGGTCCAAACCGGACTGTTAACATCCCTACTAAATTAGAGACTCTTTAAAAAAAATTTAAAAACATTATTTTTAATAAGTGTAGTCAATTACTGTAATTTTAATTGGGTAGTTTCTAGAACAGTGAATCCAATGATATCTTCGTGTTCATCACATCACATGATTAAACACTCGGCCTAAGTTAGGGTTGGTTTTAGGATTAGGTGATAGTAAAGTTTAGGCCAATTTGTTAGTGCTAATAAACAAATGACGTCATTTCATGATTCACATGATGTGATGATCACTGGGTTCATTTTTCTTGAAGTGTCCCTTTTAGTTAAGTAAAAATAAAGGTTATAATTTTTAAAAAAACTTTTAAATAAGCGTAAACTTTAAATTTTATGTAAATACTGTGTCGTCCCTGATCGACCAATCATGGTGCAGGGTCAGTGAAAATCGTAACGATTATGATCTTTCTTCGGAATTTTACCTATGAAACTGTCTTTCGTCCTAATAAAAAATTTCATTGTAAATTTTGATTAGATGGTCTATTAGCTATTGCCTTAACCACCCCTAACTTAGGCCGTGTGTTTAGTCATGTGATGGGATTATCACGAAGATATACCTGGGTTCTTTGTTCTTCAAACTACCCATGTCATGGTACGTATGTGGTTATATAGCAAAATTACATAATCATTAGTCTATATAAAAACATAAAGTTTTACATTTAAAACTTCATATATTGCAGACTCACATATTTTATACTGTATCTTTATATTGTATGATTAACTTTAAAAATGCATTCTAAAAATTAGCAATAATACTTTAAAAGTACCAACAAATCATTTCTGTGTACTCGGAATATCTTTACTATTAATAAACACCGTTTTAAAAAAACTTTATCAGATTCGGATGAGTATGAAGATCGTTAATTTGCTAATGACACCCATGAAATTAATTTATGTATAAGCAAAAACAATCATGCTAATTAAGTAAAGATCGTTAATTAATGTCAGAATTAATCTGTTTGTCAAATTTAGTAAAATATATTAACCGAAAAAAGCTACTTGATTTTAAAATATTCCATTGCGTGATGTCAATTATTTTAATAAGTGGGTATGTATAAAGATTATCAATCTGTTAGAATCAACGCAAAAGAATTGATACTAAATGATATTATATTCTCTTTATAACCCTACACAGATACAAGCACTAATAATTAATTATGCATATCCGTTCCCGAACTTATTGTACGGGTTACTTATATATTAAGAAAGATCAGAATATTATGATGAGTAGGATTGCGATGAATTAAAATTTCTCGGATCTATTGATCTAAATTGAGCGACTTTTAAAAGAATAGAATTGCCGTGCCTTTCCTAAATTAAGCAACATCACATTTCTACATAGAAGTTTTTTGTTGCGCCTAAACATCATTATAACAAAAAAAGAAAGCTTAATTCGGAATGACGCGATATATAAAAATATCATAAATTCACTTAACCATAAAAGTTACAGTATTGAATTCATGTAAGTACTAACACGAGATAAAATGTTAGCACAAAAAAATATAGGGTAAGGCAACTCCAGAGGTGTGATTATAGTGGTCTGAGATCTTTTAAGGGTTCTACCACGAAATCCCGAAAAGCAGATTCATGAAATTAATTGTCGCGTCGTATGATGCATATTTAAAATTCGCATTATTATTACTAATCATCAGCGGACTTTGAATATGTATCACACAACGCAACAATTAATTTTCGGGAATCTGCTTAGTAGAACCTGCGATTTATTATTCCCCAGGTAGGGGCAGCTTATTTTCAGCTAGCCGTTTTTAGCCATTGGCTGTATCTCGTGATCCAGTAATCCATATTGGATGATTTTAGTACTATTCGATTCGTCTTATTGAATGGTCATCCAATATGGATTACTGGATCACGAGATACAGCTAACGGCTAAAAACGGTTAGCCGACCGTTGCCATCCCTATCCCCAGGACGGCAGGAATAATGAAATATATTAATATCTTCCCGGTGGCATATGTGAAGCGCTTTGTGCCCCATACATGCGCCGTTGGGAACACAGTGGAATAATGTTTCATATGAATAATCATTTCTATTACATTTCTCTGCTTTCATTTACATCTCTAAAATTTTCGGGAAAAGTGCATGGTATAGTTTGGTCCAGTGATTATTTTCATTGTGCCGACTGTGCGCAGCACACAGAGACAAAATTCTGCGCGTACAGAAAAAAAATTGGCATTTTGTAAGTAGCGCGCACAGTTGTAAATAGCTACCTGTTATTTTATTTATTTTATTTATTTTTTGCTGTACAGAAAAGGTTTATAAATTGTGCGGCATCCGTACAGTAAATTTTAATTGAAAAATTAACACTGGTCTGGTCTTAGCTTCTAACATTGCACTCTATAAATGCATACCCCACTCTAAGTCATATTTTTGAAATTTTTACTGTGGTCCAAGGAGGTACATTAGGAGATCTCCCTGTAGCAGTTTGTTAAGCTATCCTTATGTGTCCTTTCCTCGCACATAAGAGTATATCATTTAAATAGTTTCTTTTAAATATGATCAAAGAACTTTGATCATATTTCTTATCGATTCTTCAAAGGTTTTCTTAAAGTTTACACGTTGCTTCGCGTTTCTTTCATTGAGAGTGTTTTTCTTCACATTTACTTGCTTCGGTTATTTATTGCTACTTGGATGATCGGTTCATGTACCGTGACCGCGTGTGTGTCTTTCTTTGTGGCGGCTTGATTCTTTTTAATCACAGGACTTACGACGCGGTTGCGTAAATATTACTTTTAGCCGTGACGTTACTTATTGTCTGGTATGCTTTGTACAAACACCTTCGTTACTTATTTGACTACTTAATACTGGATAATATACAAGAACTTTGCCTAGCTGATGAATGAAAATTTGTACATTTGTATTTCAAGTGCATTTGATGATTCTGATAGACTAATCAACTCAATCCTAAATCTGGCTAACTTTAAGCTGTTAGAAAAATGAGTTAATACCGCCTGGTAACCAAGTTATGAGTGATTTTTCACGACAGATACTAAAGCATTGAGCGACCTTCAGCTATGTAATATACAACGCTATTTGAGTAAATAGTCATTCGTGATATGACAAATAACAAGTAACCGTAATGTCAGATAATACGAAGAGTTGAATCAGCCTGGTCTACTTCTTGCTCTAATATTACTAAACAATCCATCTAGTTGGTCTTCCTAAATGTGGATTTTTGTATGTGTATTTATCTGTAAGTTATATTTTAAACCTAAATTGATATAATCCTAACCTGAATGTACATAATAGCTCAGCAAGTGCTAGGCACTAATACTATGTTTGAATAGTGTCACGCATGTACCCAGGCAGCATTTTAGTCCGGCACTTGCAGAACTCTAGTAATAATACAATGTCTGTATTACAATGGTTTGGTAACAATAGAATGCAATAGATCATTTATTTAGAGAGGATTGCTAAAGATGCGTGCGTACCCATATATAGGTCTTTTATCAAGATTAGATTATGCCTTAGGTAAATTGCTTTCCTAATATTCTTGTTAATAAAGCAACAAAGCCAACATTATTTTTTGAAATTAGTAAATTTAACTATAGGAACATGCATTCGTAATTAATACAGATCAAATAAAAACTATATTGGAAATAATATAACTAAAAAAAATTGTTTTTATCACACATATAAGGTAACTGATATAACTATAGTTATAACCTAAAAAGCTTCTAGTTTAACATACTAGATATATAGACTTAAATAAAGTTATATTCGATACTGCATAGATATTTATTTGTCATAAGATTTTATTTATAATATATATATATATTGAAAAGATAATCTTTACGTATTACTGTATTAGTTAATTGTCAATAAGTTATGGTTTAACTATAATAGTAAATCTATATACTTATAAAGATTGTTGAAAACTACAGTCGATCCTCCGTAAGTATATTGGCGGGGAAAGTGCACTTGTATATGGAGTGATAGTCTCAACTTATATAAATTTAGACTAACCAAATGATGTGCAATTACAGAGGGAAAATACATGTGAAGCGCACTTACAGGGGATGTCGACTGTGCGATGAAAGTCAGATCAGGTAAAATAAAAAACCTATCGCTATTGGTTAATTATTGTATACAGAATTAACCATTAGAAAATTTATTTTCACAATGATATTTCATGATCTTTTACATTAAAGTCTACAATTTGTAACATATATTTAAGCACAAGATCAAAAATAGATTAGCTATTCTTAATATAAAATAAATAAGAATTTAAAAAATAAATAAATAAATAAACTTAAATCTTAGACTCCAGGATCAACAGTCCCGGTTCTCGTTTTAGGTCTACGAATACAAAGCAACCATTTTGAGTTACGGTTCTTGAACACAATTTTAATGGATTTATATTTAAGATTTTCTTCAAGATGGCCCCAAATCTCCAGGTCGGAAGCATGGTCGGCTAGTCCAGTATTAAACAATACTGCCAACTATTCCGAATCTAAGTAAATTATCAGTGTCGCCCATTCTGATATATCCCAATCTGAAAATCTGGGATCTCTGTATGAGCTTATATACAAATCATCATATGTATAAAGAAATAATGAAAGAATTTATTAATATTTAGGATTTGAAAGGCAATTTCTATTTAAAATGCAATTTCAACGTTTTATAATGCCCACATTGAGGATGAAATCGCGAATAATAATGTATAGGATTCTAATGCTAATAATAAAAATAATGAAATGATCTTTAAGAAACTTAGTTATCTTAATACGCAGTAACTGCATAGTAACGACGTAGTAATTACATAATTACTATTAAATTTAATAATAACTAGTTACTATGTAGTTACTAAGAGATTCAAGTGTCTGTATAAATAATAAGGCCGTTTGAAGTTATAATTTCGTTTAGCGTTCTCTTATGAAGCTTAAACGCAGTGAGGGGAGGGGTCAATTTAAACAAACACTATGTTGTGTTGTATTGCATAAATAACCACATTATTATTGGTTGGCTTATAAGCACGTGACTTATTTGAATCAATGCAGATTTCAGTAAAAAATAAGAATTTTCAAACCTTTGAGCGAAGATATCACAACAACTATCTGACAAAATTCAATAAAAGATTTTTTATTTGAATTCTTATTTATTCATAGAATTCAAATAAAAAAATTTTCATCGAATTAGTCAAGTGGATGTCGAGAAAAAATTTCTATTATGCGGTTTGATTTTTCTCTAACTTTGAACGAAGAAATCTTGACCAAATTCGATAAACCTTATTTATTTAAATTCTATAGAATATGGAATTTGAATAAAAATTTTTCGTCAAATTTAGTCGGGTGGTTGTCGAGATAACTTCTTCAATTTAGAGAAAAATTTGGCATAGCTTCTATTTTGATCTGCGTTTTTTAACTTTGAGCGAAGATATCTCACAACCACTTGACTAAATTCGATAAAAATTTTTTTAATAAAATTCTATGAATACATAAAATTCAAATAAAAACCATTTTATCGAATTTTGGTCAGATGGTTGTCGATAGTGCAGTAGTGCTACAAATTGCCAAAAATTTTACAATCGATTAGTTGTAAACTTTTCGATTATTCGATTTTATTTGATTTTAATATAAGTTGCCAAAATTTTATCAATCGATTAGTTGTCAACTTTTTAATTAGTTGCGATTTTTGATTTTCGATTTGTAACACTAGTTGTTGAGATATCTTCGCTCAGAGTTAGAAAAAAAATTTTGGCATAGCTTCTATTTTGATATGCGTTTTCTAACTTTGAGCGAAGAGATCTCGACAACCACTTGACTGAATTCGATGAATTTTTTTAATTTGAATTCTATGGATAAATAGAATTCAAATAAAAACCTTTTATTGAATTTCGTCAGATAGTTGTTGTGATATCTTCGCTCTAAGTTTTAAAAATTATTATTTTTTACTGAAATCTGCGTATCAAAAAAGTAGGTGCAGAAGTATCAAAAACGTCTGATTGGCCTGTTTAATGGATTATTATCGGTTTGATCACGTGATGACGGTCGTACTTCTTGATAAAAATAAAAACTTTCAAAAATTTGAATCAGGATATCTCTAAAACAACTAGTAAAATGTTTTTATTTAAATTCTGTAAATTCATAGAATTCATGCAAAAAAAATTTATCGAATTTGGTCAAGTGGTTGCCAAGCTATCCTCGCTCAAAGTTTAAGAAAAATTTGGCGCAACTATTATGATAAGTGGTTTGATTTTTTTTAAAACTTTGAGTGAAGATATCTCGACAACCACCTGATAAAATTCAATGAACATTTTTTTATTTGAATTCTATGTATTCATAGAATTCAAATAAAAAAAAATATTTATCGAATCTAGTCAAGTGGTTGTCAAGATATCTTCGCTCAAAGTTTTTTTTTAAAAAAAATCAAACCACGTCAAAATAAGAGCCACATTACAAGTTTTGTTGTGAAGATATCTCGGCAACCACATTTAATAATTATTTTTTCTATTTGAATTCTATGGATTCATAGAATTCAAATAAAAAAAGTTTCATTGAATTCAAATAAAGAATTTTTACCGAATTTGGTTTCATCTTGTCGAGATATTTTTAATTTGAGGTACGAATACCAAGTGTGGGAGTACGAATCTGATTGGGCCAGATCAGCGATCATCATCACATGATCAAAAACCGAGCACAGATTATAATAATGCGAAGCGGGAGAACGTTAAACAAAATTGTAATTTCAAACAGCCTCAAAAAAGAGATCGGTATTATAAAGGTAATACAAAAGAAGCCAGCTTTATAGATACAATAACAAAAGAGAACAGCATTGTTTATCTACTCAAAGATCAGTATTTTCCGTTCTGGCAGTGCTATTTCCCTCAATGTTAAAAAAAAAAGCATAATCGAAAGCAAAATTTTCATGTGCACATATATCAAATAGACGCATTGAAATCAGCTGATAGCTCACCAAAAAGATTCAATGCTTCATATTGGTCTATAGCCTGCAAAGTTTCGTAATTGATCATTTCATCTTAGCCCCACCTCTTCAAAACTTCATAGTAGTCCACCACTTTCAAAGCTTCTTAATGTCCAACACTCCAAAGCTTCGTGATGGTCTAATACACCCAAAGCTTCATGATATTCTACCTCTTCTAAAACTTCATGATATTCTACCTCTTCTAAAATTTCACGATTGTTTAGTTTCAAAGATAAATTCCTCTTGAAGATCAATTGAAATTAGGCCTAAATTGTAAATAAATAAAAAATAATTGGATAAAAAATTGCTGGATTGGTTTGTGCGAAATTTTCATTAATGTATATACTATGGTACGTAAATCCAAACACGTGATTCGGGATTTTCCTCGTAGAGTAACAAGGTATTAAGTAAGTATTGCAAATAGGATTATTTGCTCTGAAATGATCCGAATCGTTTCCACGAAACATTTTTGACAACGCCAAAAGATCATTGAAAGTAAAATGCGATTTGATCTCATCTGGCATTGCACGGTATAAAAAAAAAGCCAGTTTGAAAAGTTTCCTTGCCTCTGAATATTATTCAATAGACAATCGACATCCTTGCAATAACATGTTCTTAATCAAGTTTTTTCAATACTTTACGAAAAAGTAAAAAAATCTGTTGCCGCGTTTTCTATTGTCGAAGGTATGAATATAAGCTTCGTCGGAGATTGTTAAATATTATTAAACCATTTTTTAACAACGTCCATATGAAGAGCAATAGAATGAGATGTTATGCTGCATTCCAAAGAAATAAATATACGATTTCCTGGAGATAATTCGCGAGAAAATACAGGAAGCATGATACCAACAAAAAAAAACACTTGATCTGCTTGTCCTCTTTAAGTTTCAACGTATAACTCAATGCACGTTATTTTTATAAAATTAGTGTGTTGACTTGTTTGGAATTTGATCAACATAACTATTATTGCGATAAAAAGTGAATAGTTTTCTTCGGGTTTTGGATATGGATATCAAGATAAATTTCATTTGTGTTAAAAAAAAATGTGTGGGATGATTGTCCCTGAGTTTCAAGGTATAGCCTTTTCTCGTGAATTGGCGTCAGGCAACTGATTAGTAATTTCCTTCCAATGTTTATATACGACTCATCTTATTTGCATCCTGGAATTTCCTGATCTTACTTGAAATCACATTTATGGAGATGAAATAAAATCCCGATATCAATCAGGTAGTAATCAGCTTAAAATCAGATACCCGATTTGTATGAAAGAACACGAAAAAGGACAAAGACTACTCATTAGCGTTAGGGGGGAATATGAGAAAACCTAAGATCGAGATAATCATTTATAGATCTCAACTTAGTATCTTATAATTATGGCCTTTAAGACGATTTCGCAAAACCTGTAAAAATATTGAATTAAATGAGAAATATTCATATTATATGAGTGACGAAAAGAGAAAGGGAAAACCTGTAAATAATTTCAATCATTATCATCGCAGTGATATCTACTCTTATTCTTGCAGGGTAGATATTATCTACCCCTGCAAGAATTAGAGTAGATATCACTGCGATTAATAATTGGACCCGCGGGTGAACGGGTGACCCGGGTTGAGTTTTGGCAACCCGGGTGAAAGCAGGTGGGTCAACCTGTGGGTTATCCAGGAGTCATCACGAGTTAATCTATATAAGTATCTGACCCGGTCAAAAGTAAATGTTATCGTGCAAACTCTTATAATCATAGATGTTTTTCTTCTTGATATTTTTTGTACGTTATTACATAAGCACAACAATCTCGAATTAAAACTCAGTTAGCCAATAATGACTTTTAAAGCATGATCATAATTGCGATAACATCGATATTGATGATAAATATCATAAAATTTGTTCTGTCAGAACAAATGATTGGTTAAAATGTGCCGCGCAGCGGCACATGTCAGCCAATTATTTGCTCCGACAAATTTCATGATATTAATCGTTGCATGATCCAATATCTTATAATTATTGCAGCTATTATCATAAATTATGAGACACCTTAGAAAATTAGCCGAATGATTCTTTGACTGATTCGGTTAAATTTTGATTTCGGTACGATCGATCGATATATAAGTTATCGAATAGGCAATATAATATTTATGCAAGCATTGTAATAGTTAGTATAGCTAGAAATTGTGACTAGAATATATACATAAATAGCTTTGACGAATTCCAACGGCTTTAATTATAAATTAAATATGCGCTAAATGGATTCAGTATAGATTTAAGTCAGTTCGAAATTTTTTGACAATTTGAGTGTATTTTAAATTCAACTTACGTTGATTCTAAATCTAGCAGGATTCCATTCCAATATACAAAACATATTTTATATTACATATTCTGCAGATAAATTTTATTATTTTAATGTCGATACATTCAGAATACATTGCCCAACACCTTTGGTGTGTTTAGAAATTTATGAAAAAGACTGTTCTTAACTAAGAGATCTTGACAAGAACGGCACCAGATTTACTCAAAAAAAAATGTATATATAAAGAAAAAAAAATCACCAAAAAAAAATATATATAGTTTCTGGTTTTTTTTTTTAAAAAAAAAAACTTTCTTTCTTGTATCCTTTCATTTTTATTCTTTATCTTCTCAAACCAGTTTTAACCTTTAAATTTAAAACTCGGTTGTTATATGTTAATTAATGTTTTTAAAGAAAATGTTCATGTTTTTAAGATTATAACCTTTTTTATAGTTTTTGAAGAGATTTTATAATAGAGGCTCTGGAAGTTACGATATCATTGCTATTCATAATTTTACTGTAGTTCCTGGAAACAATTCTATATTTTCTTTGAAGTAGATGATGGTCATTATATTCATTATTTTAATTATTTTGCTTTTTGTTTGGTTTTTTTTTCTTAATAAAGATCCTCTATATTTGGGGTTTCTTGTTCATAGGCCCGTAAAAAATTTTATCCGAATATTTCCATTATTTTCCATATTTTTTGTGAAAACTCCGTGAATCTGCAACACGATCGACAAATCTAGACAAAAGCCGATGAATATAACATTTACGGATCGACTTTTTTATAGGGAGGCTATTCAGAAAAAAAATTTTTGCAGTGATTTTAATGTTACAGGACAAAGAATTGCATACATTGTACCCGTATCGGAACCGGCATCTCTCTTTGATGAGGTTTAGGCCTAAATTATTTTTAATAACGTATAAGTACGAAATAACTAACACTCGTGGCGTTATTTTGAAAATCGGGTCCTTCAAAAATAACTTGCATGGTCTCGAATTAGTGCTCATGGATGTCCCGAATTAACGCGCATCCGAATGTAGCACATAATTTAATGCTGCGATAAATGATATTAGACGACTTTATAAGTACACTTCACATGTAATTTCTCTATAATGATAAGTGGTCGGTCTAATGTAATTATTAATTTTATATGTAGATTATTCTTCATAAATGAATTTATCTATTGTATTTAGAAAATCTACTCTTATTTCAAATAACGCGCAGGTGGGCGTTATTTCGCGCTTATACGGTATTCTAAATCCAAGCTCTGACCCCAAAACCTTAATTCTGCCAAAAATTCCTAACCAGGGCAGTCTGACTCTAAAGATGATTCCATTATTTATTTTTTTTTTTTTACTCATCTTACTGTTTTTATAATTTAAATAATAACAGCCACACGATTAAGGCACATTTGAAACAGCTCTAAAAGTTCCAAATGACGATATATGCTCAATATTTAGTTTTTAGTGCGTTAATTAGTCTTGCGATAAAGGATTGCTCACGTAGTTTTAGTAAAATAGTATATATCGATTAAATAAATATACAGTATGTGTTGTATTCTATATAATTATTATTATTGAAATCACAAAATTACTAAGCTGTTAGGTATTAATTTTCAATAAATCTTTGAATAGATAAAGGCTGGACTCTAGTAAGGCACCTGACATGATGTTATGTTATGAATGTATTGCTAATTTATATACATTATACTGTAACAGATTATATTTATAACACGAATTATTTATTAGAGTTAGAGGATGTTTATATAATAAACTCCCATAAAAAACTTTAAATTAGAATGTAAGAGCCGGTTTGGTTAAATTTGAGGGGTTACAACCAATTTATCTAATATCGGTTTAGCTTTAAATTATGATTTGTTAGACTTTGGTGGCGTAGCGCCATCAAGTTATCTAAGTTGTTGTTACACGGATATACAAATAAACTGGTTTTTTTTTTTATTAATAATATAAAAAATGCATCAAAAACGGATCTTGGTCATTATAGTCTTTCTTTCGTTTTGCCTAGCGCTAGTACAAATTTAGATGTGTTGCCAGTTCACTTTTAAAAAATCAACTTTGCACGGTCCTATATATTAGTAGTTTTAAGAATTCATTTTTTTAAAGCTCATTAAATATCTTTAAAAGGAATAATCCAAAACATCTTTTAGACTTTGGCACAGTTCAGTTGTAAGTATACTATTTTAAAAATATATTGTATTGAGCGTATGTGCATTATTATATATATCTGATATGAATTGTACGTATGTACGTACATCATTTTACGTTTACAATAATATAAAAAAAAAACCAATACCAATATTCAATAAAATCATGCATATGAATGCCGCCAAATGAAGGCTTGGTAAAGATTTACAGGTTTACCTATTTTAATATATTTATTTTTAATGTATTAATTTACGTATATATGCTGTTCCGAAACCTAAATCGCACTGATTTTATTGTAAATGCCTCTATTCAGTAGTTCATCAACAGTTCATTATATTATAATGATTACAATTGTCAACCATTGTGCCGATTTTTTGTGAAATTAATAAATTTTGAAACATTCATAAAAAGGTTTGAGACTATACATATACCATTTTTATTTTTCTCACGCGTAGTAAACATCTCCAAATAATGATATAACGTTGTTTCAATATCAAACATGCATTTAAGACGTGTCACTAATTAAAGTTTATGATATTTTTTTAGGCAACCAACTTTAACATATGAACTCTGCTAAGATGCACGAGTACAATCTTTTCTTTCCTTTTTGTATTTGTACAAAAATTATGTAAATTCTTTACGGAAGCATTTCGTACATCCAATATATTGCTTACATAAAAATTATGTAACTTACATTAACGGAGAAACCGTTATTTTTCGCATTTGTATTGTTTCATATTAAAAAAGTTTGGGCCATGGAACGTGATTTTATTGGAGATCAAATTTTACGTCAAGTCTCAAATTTATTGAAAAAAGGTGTAGTATCAACCGAAATAGACCATTGTACTACGTAACTGCTCTATATTCGACTTGAAATCTAAAGAGATTGAAAGTTTGTGAAGAAATGGATTAGATTATAATCATGCACGGTGGTGAGTAACGATCATGTATTAAAAATGTAACTTTTTTTTTTAATTACATTGTGTATGAGATCAAGGTCCTATCTAACTTGCTTAGGAAAAATGTATGGGATCTCTAACTTACTTTAGAAAGAGACTTCATGAGCACGTACGTTATTGTATATCAATTAAACTTAGCATTCAATGAATTAGCATTGTGCTAATCTTTCCATGGATGCCACTCAAAGACATTCACTTCCCTCTTTCCTTGTACTTCATCTATTATGTATAAATCATATTAATATTCCATTATCTCGAGATTTAAATTTATATATTGAATATATATTGAATATATATTGAATATATATATATTGATTTTTGTATATATAAAATACATATATATATATATATTCTTTTTTTTTTTTTTTTTTTTCTTTACACTCAATCCCTTCTAAGCAAAATAAAATTTCAAATTTTATATTTCAACGATCCTTAATTCAATAATGGGTGGATATATTTCAAAGCCACGACGTAACTCTAACCTAAAACTCAAACATCCATTAAACCGATTTCCTTCTATCAAATATTCCTCTCGAGTTTCCTCCCGAACTCCCTCTTATACGCCCTCTGTTTCAAAACTTCCTGAAATTGAAGAACCACATGATTTTCTGACTTATGATCCTATAGATACATTACAGATTGCTCATTACATGATCAGAGCGTTCTGGGGAAAAAATTATTTTGCACCTGTTGCTGATGTTTTGAAAAAAGAGGGATCTTGCGTTCTTGATATTAAGTATGCAATTATAATTATTTAAATTATTGTTTTTAAATTATCCTATTATTTTTTACTAATTCTTTATTAATAGTTGTGGCCCAGGTACCTGGACTCTTGAAATGAGTGATGAATTTCCTGGGGCTTACTTCACTGGTATAGATACTCTTAAGATGTATCCTACCGAAATAAAACCACGAAACGTAAAGTTTATTTGTGGTAATTGGCTTGAAGGATTGGACCTTCCTGATGATTACTTTGATTATGTTTTTATAAATTTCTTAAACTTCGGATTAAGTAAAGATGTTTGGGAAAATAAGATTATTCCAGAAGTTACCAGAGTTCTTAAGCCAGGAGGTTATATTGAGATCACTCCCTGTACGTTATTATTATTATTATTATTATTATTTTTGCTTTTATTAATCAATTCTGTTAGATTTTTAATTTATGATTAAATTCATTATTGCTAATTCAATTTTTGACTGTTAGGTGATTTGAAATGGTATAATGAAGGTCCAATCGCGAAGTATTGGATGTCAACCAGTAATTATTTTTCTTCTAACTTTCTTTTTTTTTTTTCTTCAAGAAATTCTTGTATTCTTATATAACCTTTAAAAATTAAACTGTACAACAGTCCTCAAAGAACTAAAAGCTAAAAATGTCGAACCTGCATTTGGTCATCAAATCATTGAAATGATTGAGCAAACTGGTAAATTTTCTCAACCACAAAGTGAAGAAAAGGATCATCCAATAGGTTCATGGGGTGGTGACATTGGTAAAACGTCTCTAAGTTGTTTAAAATATTATATTAAGGCAAAAACATTACAAAATATAATAACTTATGATAATGATAATACTTTTGAAACTATGTTTAAAGATTTATTTGATGAAATCGAAGAACAAAATATGTATAGCAAATCTATAAGATTTTGGGCTATGAAAATATAATATGTCAATTATGCAAATAAACATTGAACTTTATGACTATGCTCTTTATGTTACGAATACAATACATTTTTTATTTTATGAAAAAAAATTTTTTTCTAGTGTTCTTTATAACAAAGGTCATACAAAGAAAACCGAAATAACGTTCGAGTGTAATTAAGAAAATTTGGCCTAAATTAAGATTAATTCGGGCCAAAACTCAAAATAACGCCCATGCCCGCCATTTTAAGAATTTACGGTAGGTATAAAATAAAAATAAATAGATGCATGTTATTTTTTTTTAAAAAAAAAAAAAGTTAGAGTGTAATAAAGATCAACAACCTTTGCACGTAGTTCTAAATTATTTTTTTATTAAAATTAAGTTTGAAAACTCTAATTATGAATTATGCTTATCGTTATTAATAAACGAATATTCCTGATCTACGTGCTATCGCTATATTAACTTTTTTGAATATTTTTTTCGTAACCCGGTTGGGTCCTGAATCCAAATAAGGAACTTTCAAATTTTATTTGCCGTAGTATAGTATTAACCAATCAAGTTAATATTAAAAAAAATTTTTTAAGTTTGGTTATTTAAAGCTGTATAAAAATTCATAAAAGTTGTAATAAACCTAATACTGTAATATGTTTAAATATTTTAATCGAGATGTAATGAATGGGGCTCATTGCTAAATCTTCGAGTTCACAAACTTCTATTTAACATAACATAGCACGACCTTACCAGGTTTTTAGGTTCTTTAAAATTTTATTGAGTAAATAATGATTGTTGAATTCTTTAAAATTCTATTAAATTAAAACTACAATATATTTAAAATTTATATATTTGAAATTTTTTGAAAATATAAGTATCGAGAATACGTACTTTCAAATTAAGCATTCTCGAAAATCAACACCCTGGCCTGCACTATGTCAATTTTGGCCTGCGTTATGACGATCTTTGTTAGCATTATACACAATATTAAGGATTTAAGTGGTTCATGGCTGGTCCAGACCGGACTTTTTAGGGACTAGTTCAGGTTAATCTTAAATAAATATGATTACACTAAAAATACAACCCATGTAATTACAATTACATTAAACCATTAGAGTAGGACCGGTTTTGAATTTTTTTTGACAGGGTTCCTTAACTAGTTCGGACCCAGACTTTTTAGGGACCCGGGCTGGACTGCACCAGACGCACCACTTAACATCCCTACTCGATAACGAAGATTATTTCTAATTTTTATGTTTAAATTAGCACAATATAACGAAACTACTAATAAAGTTTTGATATAACGAAGCAAACCTCCAGCTACAGAGCTTCGTTATATTGAGGTTATACTGTATGCAAAAAAGGTCAAGTATATAGTAATTATTTTAAAATTTATATTTTATTTAACAAAATTGGTAGCAATATTAATAGTTATAGATTATTGTAGATATATATATATATGGGCTGCCGTCAATAGAAATCAAGTAAATCTACATTTAAAAAAAATCAATGCCTTAACTTTCATAGCTCATATCTCGATGAAATTTTAAAGCTATCTTGACGATTTAATATTCAAAAGAAAGCCTACAATCTAAGCTTTCTTTTGAATATTAAAGCATCAAGATAGCTTTAAAATTCATCGAGATATGAGCTATGAAAGTTAAGGCATTGATTTTTTTTTAAATGTAGATTTACTTGATTTCTATTAACGGCAGCCCGCCTCAACTATATTAGATTCAAATGAGTCAGATTTGGGTTCAAATGGGCCCAACTCAGGTTCAAATAACCCGACGTGGGTTCAAATGAAACCGTGACGTGGGTTCAAATGGATCCGACATGGGTTCAAATGGACCCGACGTAGGTTCAAATGGACCTGATGATGTGGGTTCAAATACTGTAGACCCGACGTGAGTTCAAATGGACCCGATGTGGGTTCAAATGGACCCGATGTGAGTTCAAATGGACCCAATGTGAACCTGTATTTAGTTTACTTGAACCGAATTGGGTTTAAATAAACCGAATTGGGTTCAATGAATCCAAATTGATATAATTTTTTTATTTTTATTTTATTTTATTTTTTTTCTAAGGCAAGATATTTATACCCCCGATTTTGTTATTCGTACCCCTTGTAAACTAAACTTTTTCAAACTTTAAACAAAGTTATTTCGACAACTACCATGCCAAGTTCGACAAACGTTTTTTTTATTTGGATTCTATAAGTTTGTAGAATTTGGATAAAAAAAAGTTTATCGAATTTGACTTGGTGGTTGTCGAGATATATTTGCTCAAAGTTTGAGAAAAATTTTGGTGCAGCTTTATTTTGATAGACGGTTTGAACTTTGAGCGAAGATATCTCATCAACTACCAAGTCGAATTTAATAAACTTTTTTTTATTTGCATTCTACAGATTCGTGGAATCTAATAAAAAAAATTTTATCGAATTTAACCTGGTGGTTGATGAGATATCTTCACTCAAAGTTTTAAGAAAACTCAAACCATCTATCAAAATAAAGCTGCGCAAAATGTTTCCCAAACTTTGAGCAAAGATATCTCATCAACCACCAGATTAAATTCGATGAACTTTTTTTTTATTTGAATTCTACGAATCTGTAGAATGCAAAAAATAAAAGCTCATCGAATTTAACCTGGTGGTTGATGAGATATATTTTTTCAAAGTTTTAAGAAAACTCAAAACGTCTATCAAAATAAAGCTGCGCCAAAATTTTTCTTAAACTTTGAGCGAAGCTATCTCATCAACCACCAGGTAAATTCGATGAACTTTTTTTTATTTAAATTCCACAAATCTGTAGAATTAAATAAGAAAAGGTTTATTAAATTTGACTTAGTGGTTGACGAGATATCTTCACTTAAATTTTAAGAAAACTCAAAATGTCTATCAAAACAAAGCTGCGCCAAAACTTTCTCGAACTTTGAGCAAAGATAACTCGAGCCAAATTCGTTAAACTTTTTTTAATCCGAATTTTACAAACTTATAGAATCCAAATAAAAAAAGTTTATCGAATTTGGCTTGGTGTCGAAATAACTGTTAAAAAAGTTTAGCTTACAAGAGGGTACAACAAAATCGGAAGTATAAATGTCTGCTACCTTTTTTAATTGTTTTTATATATATATATGTTTTTTTATTTTTTTTTATGTTTTAATTTTTTTTTAGGGTTTTATAATTTATCGCCGTAGCAATGTGTCGCCAGCACGAACCAAGCATCACCCAAAAATCAGTTACGGTTTAAACTCAATTAAACACAATTAATTTTATAGTTCCGATA